TGTTTTCTGGCTAACCCCATCGTAAAATACTTGACTCTACACCCTGCACCTACATGGCCATATGCCAGGGGAGGATTTGATAGTAAACATTGATTTGTCATCTAAGGGACATATATTTGCAGGCACGGTCTTGTTTTGTTATAAACAGGGATAAATTTTCTCCTATACACCTCTCCGTCACGTGATACCACTTGTGATACCCCTCCCCCCTCTTGTGACACTACCGTAAACCTCCGACTATAAGCCCTGGGCTTATATACTTTCGCAAGCGATTTTTGATGGGCTTATACAAAGGCGGGGGGGGGGCTTATATATAGGGGGGGGGTAATACATGGACGATCTTTTGCGTTAGTAATAAACAAGTCAGACATAAACAAGTCAGTCATAAACAGGAAACTAAACATGTAAAACACGCTTTGATTTACATAGTCGGCTATAAAGACAATAGGGCCATTTATACCGAATAAAATAAGTCGCGACTTACATAAGACGCGTCTTATATAAGCGGAATTATCGTATAAATGGTTCTTTACGGCTCTAGTCTTATTTACTTGCTATAGCTATAATGTTGTTTTGGTTGTTTTTATTTTAATATGTAAGGCTAATAATTTTACGTTGTTTCAAGTTTTAGGCATGTGTACTTAGACTTTTTATCCAAAATGATTTATTTAAGACGCGACTTAAATAAGAACAGATAAAAATCCTGTTCTTATTTAAGTCGCGTCTTATCCAAGACGCGTCTTACATAAGAATTTTGTACCTTTTATACGACAAACTTGCGTCTTATTTAAGTCGCGTCTTATGTAAGTCGCGATTTATTTTGTCTCGTATAAATGGCCCTAATGACAATGTTTTTAAATATCGTTCTCTGCTATGTTAAAAGACAATGTTGAATAACGTAGTGGGCTAACGGGCTTATATTCCGCGGGGGAACTTATATTTGGGGGGCTTATATTCGGGTGGGCTTATATTCGGGGGGGGGGGCTTATATTTGGAATGAGGTAAGTATTAGTATATGTGGTGGGCTTATATTCGGGGTGCTTAGTTATATTTGGGGGGCTTATAGTCGGAGGTTTACGGTATGTGACTGCTTATCAAACACCTTACCCCCACGAGCCTCACATACTTTGTGAATGGCCCCTAACAACAAAAATGAGGCTCATCACGATAAGGCCGGCCCATGGGAATGAAAGTCATAGATTTGCATCCGGATAATTTTTAAAAAGCATGCAGCTTTTTTTCATTATTCATCATTTTTTACCATTGTTTTGATAGTAAATATAGAGAAAAAAAAACATGAGTTACTGTTCACACGATTGCAGCACTGAAGATCTGTGTGCCAATTTCGCAAACATACCTACTGCAATGTGTTAATTTCATTGCCATCAATAATTAATTTTATTGCTATTCAATGCTCGGAATTTGTGTTTTGCTTTATCTGTGAAAATAATGACTTTTTTGTAAATAATGAGAATATGAAGCATGCGGCCGTGGTGTATGCCAATTTATGACTTTCATTTCCGTGGCCTAAGATTGTGAACTTTGATATTGTTCCGTTCGAAAGATTGTTGTAAGAAATACATAATTAAAGTAAGGTCATATATGCTGTCTCCCAAAGATATAGCAACTGGTCCTCTGGGATGGCTTCTCATATATAACTCCCCCCAGGAACGCTTTGGGTCCCGCTTGTGGACAAACATTGAGGTCTCCAGTTTGCCTGCCTCAGAGTAACAAAGCAAGAACCAGGAATCGTGCTCCTCAACATAAGTCAAAACAATTATTTTACAAATGCCATGATGATATTCCACCCGCAAGACTTTGTTACCCTCTGGTGCGCTTAGTGAGGACTTTAACTTACCTTCCGCTAGCTGTATATATTTGAACAACAGTGCGATCATCTTATGGTATGATGACATCATTTGTATTTGAAATACTCAAGCTGCGTAGCTCGTTACCATCCCGTTCAAATTTATATTTCAACTGTCCTCCGCTGTCAGAGACATACACCTGGTTATCGTACGTTTTTATCATGAAGATATTTTTATTTTTGTCCACAGCAATGTTTAAAAAGATAGAATCTCCAGCGTCAGCAAGCCCAAGAAAATCCAAAATAGACACATGCTTGGTTAAGTAAGTTTCATAAAAAACGTACAACATGAAATATCCATTAGTACTACATTTCATAACCCATCTCACAACGTATACATTATCATTCATGTCGACCGCAAGAGCTTTCTGTTCATGCTCAGCGAATTTAGTTTCTAGAGGTTCAGAAAACATAACATCCAGGGGTTCTTCTCTGCTGTGGATGATCATGTCCATGTCACCAGCAAACAGAATAATTCCATTGCGACTATTTAAAGCAAAGCGATAAGAACAGTTAAACAATCCCTCCTTGTATGCAACAATTCGGTTGAGTTGTTGGACAAATTCTTCACTACTGGATGTCTTGGTCAAAATCTCATGTGCGTGCAGGATTGGATGAAACTTACGATCCGACGGATCCGTCAGCTTTATTCCTGGCCAGGTAAAAATATTAGGATATTCACTGCTATACTTGGATGCGAAGTCGAATAAAATATGATTGACGAACAAAACAGACATTATGTTCTCCAAACGTTCTTCTTTGTTAATCTTTGATTTCATTCCTCCGTCGAGAAAAACTGAGAACCAGGGTTTTAGCCAGGATTTCGAAAGTGGCCGTCCAAAATAATATTGTGGCCGTGGCCACATGTTTTTGGGCGTGGCCGCAATTTTTTGTTGTTGTGGAATTGTGGTGTTCTATTCATTGAACCTTTTTACTTTTAGTTTTAGATGCACATTTCCGTTATTAAATTACTAAAAGCACACGTATGGTATGAACCGTATGATCACTACGATGTACAGTATATGCTATAATGAAGAACGCAATACAGCAGTGTAGTGTTTAGTTATTTTTATCAATCACCGATATTTTTCCCCTTCTTTATGCGTTTGGCTCATTTTGTAGCCATGTTTACCGTAAGTATAACTCTAAAGCATGTTGCGCTCGAGCGATAGCGTTTGTCGATACTTCAATTCAGCCATATTCAACGTGTTTTCGACGGGAAAAAATATAAAAAACATATGCCATAAATAAAGTAAACAGAAGATGACAACAATTCGAAGTATTCAAGAAATATTACAAAGCTTGTAAATTGCTATTTAAAGAAAATATTCCCTTAGGCCGTCCATGGCCGTCCATTAAAATTTAGCCGTCCGACTTCAGAAGTGGCCGTCCATACGGCCGCCTGGCTAACACCCTGCTGAGAACATCTCTTGCACCGATGGTAAACCATGCAGCTCTTTAAATGCTGTTTTGCAGGCAGTAGTCGCAGATTCTGGGTCCTCAAAACCTGACTCAAGAATTCTAGCAGCTACGCGTAACTTAGCAGCCATAATTCGATCTTTGATGCTCAGAGATTTATTGTTAAAAGCATGCGTGGCTGTCTCACGAGATGCTTTGAAACAATCTTTAGCAGCCATGAACCGCTCTTCGGACGAGATTTTTAATCTTTGAATCGCTTGTGGAAGTAACAAAGCTGCGTTCAAGGTCCCATCGGCAGGGTCGTCGCTCGCTTTGCAATCTTTATTCGTCTTATTAAGAGCGAGATTCAACAATTCCACACCTTTTTTTAAAAAACTATAACTGCTATCGAGATCTTTCAGTGACAGACATTCGAGTTTGGACTTAATATCGTCCATATCGCCGACAATTATTTCACGCAATTTTTCATCCGTTAAACCACCGTCCCTCAATCTATTAAACTGCACTGTCGCGCGCCTTGTTCAAGAGTAAGCCCACGGTTGAGCCTAGAATTGTTGTAACGATTGAAGACATGGCTTTATGCCTTTATCAAAGCAATATGGCGACTACTAATAAAACAAAAAAACACTGGGAAGATAGCCGCAGAGCCCAGGCTCTTTGCTCTTGGGTATTGGGCTCACATTCAACTGTGTTCAATTATTCAAAAGTTGATTACTTGAAACAACCCTTTTTCTAGCTATTTTTTACGTTTTTGTTCTGTTACGCATTGCGAAGAAGGTAACTCTCTACCCTAATTATTCTAATTTATAGGAATCGTAGCATTTAGTAGCAATGAATTCCAGCAAAATAAGCTTTAAATTGTTTATAGTATATGAATATAGGATAATAGGACGGTCAATCTCGTTCCCAGAGTATACCTGTTCGCGCGTTAGGTAGTGGCATGACTCTGGGGAAATCGATTTTTTTTAGGGGCCGACCATTATTTAACTTTTGAGGGGGGAGGTGGGGGGGTGGGTGATTTTGAAAAAAAATTTCCTACAAGGCTATTCTGAACAAAAAAAAAATACCTGC